GCCGTGGCACGCGGCGGAGCTTCACGCGCAGCGCGCGCGCGCGGCGGCGCTGATGGCGCGCGCGGCGGACCCGGGGGCGTCGCTGTCTGGGCTGGCCCTCGGGTCGGCCCTCATCCAGCGCCTGCCCAGCCTCGAGCTGCTGCAGGCGCTGACGGCCGCGGCGACCGCTGCGCCGCCCCCGCACGCGGCCGGCCGCCCCGCCAGCGCCAGTGCGGGCGCTGCTGCCGCCAGCGCCTTCGACGCGGCTGCTGCCGAGCACGCGGCCGGGGCGGGCGGCGCGGCGGAGGCGGCGGCGGCGTTGCTGTTCACGTGACACCACCATCGTCACGCCCGCGGCGGCCTCAGTCCCACCGGCCCCCTCTGTGTCGTGGCCGCAAGCACCCCCCGCCCATAGACCGCACCACGACGACGACCCGCCCATGCGCGACGCGCGCCCCGACCCGCGTTGACCGGGTTTTGACCAGCGTTTGACCAGCGTCTGACCTTGCCGTGGGGCCCCGATCAGTGCAGCCGGACCCCACGATGACGACGCCTGTACATATGCTTCCTACTTCTGATGATTCATTTAGGATTAGCCGAATGCCACTGTTCTGCCTGCTTCTTGTTTGTGACCGCCGCCCGCCTCGGTCTACAGTCCGCTTTTGAGCGCCGCCTGACGCCCGCCGGCCCGGCCCAGGCCCTTGCACCGTCTGGCATTTGGAAGCTGGGCGCCGGCGGCGCCCCTGTCCCCGCCCCCCTCAGCCCCCATACCACTCCCTCGCCCCTCCACGACCGACCAACCAACGACCGCGCGCCTGGGGCTGCCAGGCCCCTCCTCTGAGCCCCGCGCGCCTCTGTGCGTGTTTGACCACGTTTGACCGCCATCCAGCACAGCCCCCATAGCGGCGGCGCGGCCATTCTGTGCTTCCCTGCGCCTTCACGCGCGTTTGACCATGTTTGACCGACACCGACCTCCGCTCCAACAGCGGCGGCACCCCCCGTAGCACTGGGCCCTACCAACCACAGCAGAGCTCCTCATCGCGTATGCAAGGCCGGCCCACTTTTGACTGGGGCGCTGGGGTCGGCACGGCAGCTGCCGCAGGGGCACAAAGCGCAGCGTGCCGCGTGCACAGCGCATTCACCCTGGTTTTGCAGCCGGCGCGGGCGCCCCTGCTTGTGACGCGCCGCTTTGAGCGGCGCCACGCAGCCAGTGGCCGCGGCGGTCGCGTCTGAGGGCTGCACGCCAGCCAATGCCTGTCATCAACGCCGCTCGTACGGGCGGGCGCACGGTGGCGTGCGGAGCCCCCGGCTAGTGTTTCTTGGCGTGTAATCGGGCATCGGCACATGCACGCGGTGACGCGCGGGCGTCAGGAGAGATTTTGCAGCGCTCGCCGCGTCTCGCCGCGGGGCGGTCGTGCATCAACGGCAGGGCACTGCTGCCGCCGCCGTTCCGGCGCCGCGGGCCCTCCTCGTGTTGTGGCATGGCCACCGACCAGCAGCTGCCATCGCCAGCACGCCCGCGGCCTCCGGAGCCTCCGGTAGTGAGGGGCGCGGAGCCACCCGCCACGGCCCTGTAGTTCCTAGGAACGTGCAGACAAGCGGGGCGCTTGGGGCTGGGATGGCGCTAAAGCGCGCGGTCGATTTTGTGCGGCTGGCGCTTGTCGGTCTGGTGGCCTGCGGGGGTCGCACGCACTCCCGTTCAGCATACAGCGCGCTCGTGTGTTGTCAAAGCTTCAAAGCTTGGTAAGCAGACCAGCATCAGGTTTTTCAAGCAAGTCTCATGCCTGGTCATTGCAAGTTTGGGGGGGGGCGCTCCAGCACGGCCCTATGACATGGCAGGACGGGGTGTTGCACCCAGGCACTGCCTTGTTGCATGGGATGCCGCTGCCGCGTTGCCGTTGTATGTGTAGTTTCCTTCAAGCTCCTGCAAATAGCAGATTTGCAGGACCTGTGCGGCGCCGCTTGCGCACAAGCACAGGCAGGACGTTGTCGGTCTTGGTGCAGCGCACTACCTGGGTGTCCCGCATGTTGGACTGCCATGATGACGGCAGCGGGCTGTACAGTAGGCAGCAACGTGCTCATTGCGCTGCTCTGACACAACATCCACTTTCAAACCTCTTCACGCTCTCAGCCGCTGCATCCCGCGCCAGTTTATCATGATCTGACAGAGGCTGCCTTACGGACAGGTCTGTGTCTTCAACATAAGTCCATACTTACGGAACCTAGGCCGATCAGCGGCGGTATGGAGGACTTTCCCGAGTACGGGCCCCCAGCGCCCGACTGGGCCCACGGCGGGCTCGACATGGTGGACGTAAAAGGCTTCCTAGACACTGATGATCGAATGAGCTTGTCCCCGGAGCCGCTGGAGCCTACTGGTGGGTGTCTGCTCGTTGCGTTCGACTCCGCGCCAATGGATCGCACTGGCGTCTCGGATGACGCAACACCGGGTTTTGCGCTATCTGAATCATTTCTGACAGAACACACAGCTATGGTGGTGGTGGAGGACGCCCTCCTGGCTGATCGGGCAAGCCGCTCGCACGCGCTGGCTCCGGCCACCCGACTCGTCGCGGCGGCCGCTACCCACGGCGACAACAGCCCCATCTGGTGTGCGCCAGGCTCCAACTTGTCATATGCTGCTATTGGCATCCTCCCATGCTCACGCCTGCGCGCGCCGCCCGGCACGCAACGGGCAGCACATGTGTGCGTGGTGAATGGCGCGCGCGCCGTGCAACTGGCCTCAACCGCCCCCACCGCGCGCGCATGCGCGCGGTGCAGCCCCAGCCCCCGCCGGCGCGCCCGACACATGCGTCCCACCATGCACGTCATGCAGGGTGGTTCCAACGCACATGACCGGCAGCGGTCCCGTGTGCGTCCCATGCTGCGCGCCGCCGCCCGCCCGGCCAGCCACCCTCATCAGCCGCGCGACGGCCACACGGCGCCCGATCGCCCGCGCGGCCGCGGTACGCACCGCCGCCGCTTTCTCTGCCGCCGGCGGGACCCATGACCAGCCACAGCAGCAGCAGCAGCAGCAGCAGCAGCCGACGCCGGCCGCGCCAACGCGGCCCGCACGCGTAATGTCAATTGCGTCGCCGGCCCCCACGCCTGCGCAGAGCCCCGCCCTCCGCGGCGGCGCCGCCGCCGCCGCCGCTGCCGCGCCGCCGGCCCCCTCGCCGCGGTGCTTGCCGGACAAGCCGCCCGCACGGGAGCTCGGCGGCCGCGGCGGCGGCACCTCTGCAGGCGCTGGTGCGAGCGGCGGGTGTGGCAGTGATGCGGATGCGTTTGGGTCTGATCAGCAGCGCGGCGACTTTGGCAGCGGCGATGAATACGAGTTCGAAGACGGCGACGAGGAGGAGGACGAGGAGGAGACCGCCGGCTGGGGCCCTGGAAGCAGCGGCGGCGCGCGCAGCGGCGGGGGAGGCGGCGGGGGAGGCGGCGGCGGCGACGGCGCGAGGCGCAAGGCGAAGCGGAGGCCGCGCATCAGGAATGCGAAGCAGCAGGAGCTCAACCGGCTGGCGCAGCAGCGGTACAGGTGGGGCGGGTCAGCTCCGGTGATCCGGCGATCTCAGATTTGGCGGCCACTGATCTGGACCCCTTGTGCTGGGGGGCGGGGACCACCACAGCTGCTTCGGCTGGCTGGCTGAGCCGCGTGCGCGACACAAAGGGACCTCACTCAAATGAGGATGCTAAAGCGGGGCACGTCCGGCGGTGCGGCCCGTCTTCCGATCCCGGCCTCAGCCGGCGCTACCTGTTTGCACAACAAGCACCGACTCCCAACATTTTGGAACCTCGGTTCGAATGTACACCAGGGAGCGCAAGAAGCAGAAGTACTCGGTGCTGCAGGGGGCGGTGGAGGACCTGAGCGCCCGCCTGGCGCGCCTCGCCGCGCTGGAGGCCGCCGCGGCCTCGTCAGCCGCGCGCCAGGCGCAGCTGGAGGCGCAGCTGTCCGACCAGCGGCGCCGCCTCTCCGAGAGCGGCGGCGCGCTCGCGCGGCAGCAGGAGCAGCTGCGCGCGGCGGCCGAGGCGATCCGCGGGCAGCAGCGCCAGCTGGCGGAGCGCGGCGCGCGCGCGGCGGCGCTCGAGGCGCGGCTGGCGGGGCTGCAGCGGCACGCGGC